ATTACCTGTTCATCTATCAGGAGGTCTATTTGTTTATCTTTGATCAGATCCCAGTTATATATTTTTGGTGTTGCTCCAATTGCCCGTGGGTTCTCCTCATAAAGTATTCTCCCAGGCCAATATCTTCAAGTGTTTCTCCTGCACTCTCCCCAAAAATCTTTATAGTTACATGTCTTAAATTTAAATCCTTTATCCAGTGAGAGTCAATTTTTGTTAATGGTGAAAGGTGTGAGTCCCATTTCAGTCTTCTACAAGTCGCCAGCCAATTCTCCCAGCACCTTTTGTTCAATAGGGAATCTTTCCCCCAATTTATATTTTTGATAGGCTTAGCAAAGATCAAAGGACGATAAGTGTCTGGGTTCATCTCTTGGTTCTCAATCCTGTTCCATACATCTATTTTTGTGCCAATACCATACTGTTGTGATCTCTATAGATTTATAGTATAGTTTGAAGTCTGGTAGTGTGATTCCTCCTGATTTGTTTTTATTTCTGAGTAATGTCTTGGCTATTCAAGTTTTTTTCTGATTCCATATAAAACGAAGTACTATATTTTCCAGATCTTTAAAGTATGATGGTGGTGCTTTGATAGGGATTGCATTAAATTTATAAATTGCTTTGGGTAATATGGACATTTTAACAATGTTGATTCTTCCTAGCCATGAGCATGGTATGTTTTTCCATTTGCTAACATCTTCAGCTATTTCTTTTCTCAGAGTTTCACAGTTGTCTTTATAAAGATCTTTCACGTCCTTTGTTAGGTAAACTCCCAAATATTTCATCATCTTTGGCACTATTGTAAAGGAAATAGAGTCCTTGATTGTTTTTTCACCTTGACTATTGTTGGTACATATAAAGGCTACAGATTTGTGAGTATTGATTTAGCATCCTGAAACACCGCTCTATTTCTGTTTCACTGACCTCCTACATTTTTTTTGTTTGTTTTCCATTTTATTTAGTTCTGCTCTGACTTTTGTTTTTTATAATTTTCTTCTGGCTTTGGGTTTGATTTGTTTTGCCTTCCACAGTTTCTTGAAATATGATAGTAGACTGTTAATTTGTGATTTTTCTGGTTTTTTGATGTGAGGATTTGAGGAATGAATTTTCCCTGTAGGACTACTTTTGTTGAGTACCATAGGTTTTGATAGCTTGTGTCTCCTTTGTTATTAAGTTTAAGGAAATCTTTTAATTTCCATCTTAATTTCATTATTGACCCAATAATCATTCGATAGGAGGTTAGTTAATTTCTATGACTTTGTGTGCAATTGCAGGTTATTCCTAGAATTGATTTCTAGTTTTAATCCATTATGGCCTAAGAAGATACTTGGTATGAATTTGATTTTTTTCAAATTTGTTAAAACATAAGTATTGCCTAATGTGCATTTGCATACATGATCAATTTTGGAGAACATCTCATGTGATGATGAGAATAATGTGTATTTAGTAGTTTTCAAGTAAAATGTTCCATAAATTTGTTCAGTCCATTTGTTCTAAGGTCAAAATGAAGTTCAATGTTTCTTCATTTGTTTTATGCTTTGAATAGCTTTCCAGTTCTAATAGTAGGATGTTGAAGTTCCCAGCAATTGCAAATCTATTATTCATTTCCTTGCTTAGCTCTTGCAGAATTTATATATCTAGAAGCTTTCATTATAGGTTATATATATTTAGGGTTGTTATGTCTTATTGATTTGCACCCTTTACATTTATATAATGACCATCTTTGTTTTTCTTCATCATTGTTGATTTAAACGCAATTATTTTCTGATAAGAGAATTGCTCCACCGGCTCACTTTTGGTTTCATTTGCATGGAATATTTTTTCCCATCTTTTCACTTTGAGCCTCTTTGCATTCTTGTGTTTTAGATGTTTCTCCTGAAGGCAACAGATGTTTGGGTTGTGTTTTTTTCAACCACTCAGCCAGCCTAATTCTTCTGAGTGGCACATTTAAACCATTAATGATAAGAGAATTGATAGGTATAATGCTGGTTCATTCATCATATTGGGTAGTCCTTTGTTGCTTTGTTTTTGTTTTTCTTCCAACTGATTCTTTCATTTCTTTAAGTTCTACTATGTCCTTCCTCATGTTGTCCTTCCTATTGTTTTATGAAAGTGGTAAGCTTTCGTTATTTCACATGATTTTATACTGGTCAGCATCTATTGTCCCAACGTGTGTATAATGCAGTTCTGAGTATTTCCTGCAAGAAAGATCTGGTCATCAAAAACTCTCTCAGTGTTTATTTCTCTGGAAAAGACTTAATTTTTCCATCAATTATGAATCTTAGTTTAGCTAGATTCAAAGTTCAGGGCTGGCAGTTCTTCCATTTAAGAAGATTGAACATGGAGTCCCATTGTCTTCTGTCTTGTAAAGTTTCTGCTGAGAATTCTGCTGTTATCCTGATGAGTGTTCCCTTGTAGGTCAGTTGTTGCTCATATCTAGCTGCTTATAGAATTTTTCTCTTTCATTTTGACTTTGGCCAGGTTGATTACTATATGTCTTGGAGATTTCCTATTCACATGAATATTCCCAGTGTTTGATGACCATCTTGTAACTGAATGTCTGGATCTCTGGCAATATCAGGGAAGTTTTCCTCAATAATTCCCTTAAATAGATTTTCCAAGCTTTTACCTCTTTCTTCTTCTCCCTCAGTGATATCTATAATTCATATGTTACTTTTTTCCCCATATTGAAGTGATTTCTCTGCCTTTTCTGTTTTCTTCTCTGCCTCTTTAAGTGATTGGGTTAGCTCAGAGCATTGTTTTCAAGCTCTGTTATTCTTTTTCCTTGGTTGAATTTTTGCTAAAGTTTCTGCTATGTTTTGAAGTTCTCTAAATGATTCTTTCATTTCTTTAAGTTCTATTATGTCCCCCCTCATGTTGTCTAATTCTTTTGTCACATTTTCATTTTCTAAAATTTGTTTTGGCTTCTTTTTGTTTTCAACATTCTCTTCAATTCCATTCAACTTTTTTGCCATCCATACTTTGAATTTCACTTCCACCATTTTGAAAATTTCCTCATAGGTGATGTTCATATCTTTAGTACCATCATGATCCCTTGGGGGGTGTCAATCTGTTTCAATTTTTCATGTTACTAGGGTTCTTTTGTTGTTTTCTTCCCATATAGAACCTCATTCTTGAGCCAGGGCTAACAGGTTTGCAGAGTGCCTGTTCTTTGCTATGAACTCCCTCCTTGATTAGAAGAAGGAAAAGTCCTTAGATGGTCCTTTTTATCCCATACTCTGGAATGCTGATGTAGCAGAAGAGGTACATGTGCACCAGAAGTCTGTAATGTAACTGTTATTATTTGTTCTGTTTGCCTGTGATTGTTTAAGTCTTTGTTTGCTATTTGTGCAGGGTGTTGGGTTATTCACCAAAGAGTTGTAGGAAGTTCAAGTTGGGAGCTGAGCAAGACCCTCTTCACTTAGGCTGGTGTTGTGGGGATTTCTCTACTTGTGGTCTTCCCACAGTGGTGACAGTAGTAGCTGGGTGAGGCTATCTAGGCAGTAGTTGTGGGTCCCAAGATGTGGACATTTCCTCAAACCAGTTCACAGTGTACTGGTGGTTTAAGGCTGTGGGGTCCTTGATGGGACATTGATTTTGGAGAAGTTCCTTTGGCCCTATAGCAGTGATAGAAGCTCCAGGGTGTGGCCTTGTGGCCCAAGTGTTAGAGTCTTAGGGACAGTGTCCTAGGCCTGGCAGGAGCTCTGGAGGCACAGAGGTTATGGCATAAATGCCTCAGAGGCATAACAGGGGAGGAGCCTGAGGCAGGGCTTCTGAGCCAAAAGCAGGATTGTGTAGGCAGCAGGGCTGATCCAACCTAGAGGGTGGGGTTAGGGCCAAGAAGGAAGATGGCATTTGGGGCTTGGATGGCAGAGTTGTGCCAACCATGTAAATGGCTGTTTCACAGGCTCAGGGACCATGCAGATACAAAGTCCCATGGGCAAAGGTCAGTTCCAGGGCCTCAAGGACTATGGAGTTATTTCCAGCCCTTCTAGGACTCACTAAAGCAGCCGCCCAAAGACTCCCAGGTTGGGACTCTGCTGTGTTCTGGTTAATTCCCATGCTGACAGGAAGGAGTTCATAGATTTTAGTCACAGGGTACAGCTCAGGGGAGCCTCCAGTTAGACCACTTCTTCCCCAGACTGGTGCACTTGAGAACTCTGGATGGCATTAGCTGCTGTCTCTGTTGTCTGGTGCAATCACTCTCGCAGACTCCAGGTCAGTCCCTGGTTCAAATAGGTAGAGGTCTGTGGCAGTGGAGGGAGACCTATCACAATTTGCACAAGACCAGCAGGGTGAAAGTGGTACCCCAGTGCTCTATCCTCCTATTCTTTCCTATAAATACTTTAATTTAGTTAAATATATCACCCCATCACCTTTTTTTTTCTACAATGAATGTGTCACATTGCTTCTCTATGGTTTCACAATGTTTCTTCAGAGAAGAATTATCTGTACATAGGCAGCTGCCTGTAATTTTCACTTCTTTTCTTGAAAGCAATGTGCTAGAAGGCTGCTTATACGCATCATTTTTTATCTCTGGGCAACACAACCTTTCTATTCCTTAATTTCAGCACTATAGAATTGTTAAGAGAATAAACATCAATGAATGTTAAACAATAAGAGTGCTTCTACAGGGCCTAGAACACAGTGCATATATCTTAAGTTTTACTTCCTTTCTATCTCTTGAACATAGATATGGAGACTTATTTTTATATATGCCATCCATTTATTTGTGTTTACCATACTCATATATTTACCAACAAATTGACAAGAGAGTAAGTCTTCTGGATAAGTACATCCTTCACCAGAAAGATAGGGGGCTACATATGCTCTAGAATTCTATGATTCTGTGACTCAATAACCATGATTCTGGGGTTCTGCTATTGACTAGAGTAATTGCTAAGGGCTTCATTGCTAAGGACTCCATATGATACTGGTGGAGAAGTAGATCATGACTTGGGCTGCAAAATTCACTCATTCTCTTAATAGAGTTCTGCCATTGAATCATGGAGTTACCATCCGAGGACAAAAGAGAAACTCATGTCCTTACCATACAGCCAAAGGAAACCATATTGACTGCATTGCCATATAGACCTCATAGCTCTCTACTGGATTTCCTGAAGGGAGAGCCAAAAGTCTTAGGGGTAAGTCCTCTCCAATCAATAGGTCTTCCTGGAGGGTAGAAAAGAAGTTTCTTTATTCCTGTATATCTACAGAGATAGCACTGTACAAAGATTTTCAGAGAGGGAGTTGATTCCATTTCTCCCCTCATCTTTCAACTGTAATGTATCTTTATAGATTCATCATAAATATTTCTGAGTCATTTGCTTGTACAAAGAATTGAATCATCAATAGAAAAAGCAATAGGTAGCCAATAATATCATTTCCCTAGTTTTTTTATTAAGTCATTTGTACATAGATCATAAATACATTTATGCCATTATAGGATTTAATGTGTTGATTATTTGTACAAATTGGAATGCTTACATCCTACTAAGCAACAAGAGAAAGAAAAGTTTTGTTTAGAAAATGCAAGGTTTGCCTCAGGTCTTAGTTATATTTCTAAACTCTTAACTCTAAGAAATAGATTATTTAACCCTAATTACTAAGTTTCCCAACCTGGAGGAAATTCTAGGACTATTTCTAGTACTAGTCTTTGAATCCTAGCAGAGGGGAGGCAGGAAACTGGTATATGTTTTTGAGATACCTTATTGAGTAAGTGACCTCAGGGGTGTCTCTATTAAGAGAATAAGTGAGTGCCCACCTCCCTTAGTGTTAAAAATCCATGAAAGGAGAGGTTATACTTTCCCTTTGTGCTCTTACAATAGCAGTTCTCAACCTGTGGGTTGCAACCCCTTGTGGGGGTTGAATGACCCTTTCACAGGGGTCACCTAAATATATCCTGCACATCAGATATTTATATTACGATTCATAACAGTAGCAAAATTACAGTTATGAAGTAGCAATAAAAATAATTTTATGGGCTCAGCACCTGTGGCTCAAGTGGCTAAGGCGCCAGCCACATACACCTAAGGTGGCAGGTTCAAATCCAGCCTAGGCCGCCAAACAACAATGATGGCTGCAACAAAAAAATAGCCTAGTGTTGTGGCAGGCGCCTATGGTCCCAGGTACTTGGGAGGCTGAGGCAGGAGACTCACTTGAGCCCAAGACTTGGAGGTTGCTGTGAGCTGTGATGCCACAGCACTCTACCCAAGGGGCCAGCTTGAGGCTCTGTCTCAAAAAAAAAATAATAATTTTATGGTTGGGGGTCACCACAACATGAGGAACTGTATTAAAGGGCCACAGCATTAGGAAGCTTGAGAACCACTGTCTTACAAGCATAGGTAGTTCTTTGAAAACTATATTCAAAGCACCATAATGAACTATATGATAAATATACATACAAAAAAATTTTGATCATAAATGTACTTAGGGGAGAGCTTTCTACATAGTACAAAAGCAAAATCACTACTTATGGTTTGGTGCCATAAAGGTCTGGTCTGGGGACAAGCCTAGACCTTCTAGACAGTCACTTTTGCCCCATGATTAACCACTGCTCCTGCAGGACCACTGTGTTATTCACCTACCTCCAGAGGTGAATCTGGTCCTATCTCTAGTCTGGTTCTCGGATAAAAGATCACTCTATGTAAGTCTGCAAACTTTAGAGAACTAGAGTGAGTCCTAATTCCAAAAGCATATATTGAATGTTGGAAAATCAGAAGGGATGAGACTGGTAATAAGATGCTTCTCCTACAGAAGGGAAAAAATGTAAAGGTGAATTAGTTTATAGTTCCTGTTTTCAAAAAGCTTATATTCTATGAGTAATCAGACATGTGTTCAAAACTATATGACACAAGATAATTTGCTAATGTCTGGGAATACAGAAAGTCACAAAGGACAAGAGTGAAAGATTCCAATGCAACGGATTTAAGCAAGCATAGCAGGGAAAAAGACACTTTGATCGAGTCTTCTGAATGTCTGAAAGTTGTTGGCAAGTAGGAGGAGAAGTGGCTCAGATAGAGGCAAAAGTGTGCCATAGCACAGCCAGGGGACGGGGTGAGGGGCAAAGAGGGGGACCCTGTGGAACCTCATCTACCCGTTTCTCTCTTCACAGGCTGTCCAGATCCTGCTTGGTCTGTTCATTTTTGGCCTTGGAATTACATTTGTTTTTAGTTACATCATTTTCTCCAAAAATTTCCCTCTTGTTTTTCTTGCAGGATATCCATTCTGGGGATCATTTATTGTGAGTACAATCAATTTGGAGCACTTGAGGAACTGATAAAGATTGATTTGAATTGTGTCAAGTCCTAGAATAATGAATTCCACAAATGTGGTGGCCCAGGGGACCAAAAAACACAGCCCCCTTCATGGCAAAAGAAGACTTCTGTGGTCTTTGCCCTGCTATCATCATAGTAGTAACTAATCTCAAGTGTAAAGTGCTTCAAAGTTTCCAATGCCCTTGTGTGAATAGTCAGTCATTTGTTCCTCACTACCAAGATGGGAGATTAAATGGGCAAATATCCTATTTTCTCCTTTGCAAATAAGAAAACTGAGCTTGAGAGTAGATAATATTAATAACTTAAACATATCTAACTATTGCTCATAGAATCATACCAGCATAGCTTAAGGAAAATTTTAAGATTAATATAACTCAACCCTTTTCTTAGGCCCTGAGATAATTTTATGAATGTTACTCACCCAGGTAGGTAATAATAGAGCCATAAATATTATTCTTAGTACAGTGCTATGTTCATCCAATCCCCACAGCCTTAGTTCCTAATATTGGCCATAATGTTTGAGGACAGACTCATTAAAGCATCCCCTACTAAAACATGTACTCCCAAGATGGCAAGAGTATTGTTGTTCTATTGCTGTTATATTCTCAGAACTTAGAATACTGCTTGAGGTATAGTGTGTATGAATGAATGAAGAAATGATTGAATGAATTAATGAATCAGTGAACACATAGATGAAATAATAAATACATCAGACTATTGTTTCTATTAAAGACTAGTAAAAACTCACATTTCTTTTGATAAACATAAATAATCCCTGCCTTTTTCTATAATTTACATTTCAAAAACAACTGGAAGTGTTTTTACTTTCCCAATATAAATAAGATTGACTTTGATTTTGAAACTATACATGTTGCACTTCAGAAAATCAAACAGACCAACTCCTCACTTCCTCATCTCACAACAGAACTTTCTCAGTGTGGCTGTGTGTAATCTGTGCATGTGAATTAGAATGATATCTTGGTCTGCTGCTTTCTAAAATGTCACTCTATTAAAAAGACATGTACAGAGCACGTCTCTTCTCTCAATGAGAATGACAGTACTGATATTCAAGGCCCTGTCATCTAACAGGGAGACTAGAAATAAAAAGCAAAAAGTAACAGATGTGTCCTTACACTGTGTTAAGTGCTCTAGGAGAGGAATTTCAGGTGCCACTCATCGGGCCTGGGGGGTCCAGGAAACGCTTTGCACATAGGTGGTCACTGGGTAAAGCAGAAAGGAAGCAACTCCTCTCAAGAGGAGGCATGAATCAAGGATGCAATCATGACGTGGGAAGAACAGCCAAACGAAGACCAATGAGTCTATGTTCGTGACATAAAAAGGCCATAAATCTAGGCTGAAATCAGGTCATGCCAGTCCTTGTACTCATGCTAAGAATGTGGAACTTCAAAATGAGAGCAAGGGAAATCCACTAAAAATTTTAAAGAGGGTGGTAATATTTGAAGACCTGTTATCATTGAAATATCACTGTGTTTTCTGAGTGGGAAATGAATTCAAGGATAGTAACAGCAAACCTGGGAGTTGGCTGAACCAATCCGGGGGAGGGAAGATGGTGCCCTGGGATGGCAATGGAGACAGGGAGAGATGGAGAGCTTTGAGAGTGACTTGGTGGGAGAACTGATAGGACCTGGAGACATGGGGTGGGGAGTGGAGTGGAGGGAGGTAGTAAAGGTACCTTTCCTGCCTGCACCCTCGAGGTTCTTAGACTGCAAGACCTGGATGTTCTCAAGGTCCAGTGCCAATTCCCACAGAGGAGGTCCCATCCCCAGAACATTAAAAAAGTGACAGGTTCCATGTTGGGTGACAGAGTTCTCATCTTCTTTGGAGGAATGAGGCTCTTTATGTTCATAGAAAAGGAGTAACTGAGAAAACCTGACTGGATTTCAGCCTCCATATCAGCCTTTACAGGTGTCTTCCCTGAGAAAGTCTCCCTCCACCTGCTCAGAGGGGCAAAGTTCCTTTTACCTTCTTCCAGGCAGACCCAGAGCTCAGGAATCTCTGTTTTTGGAGCCCACACGGGCCAAACATCTGACTAATATTTTCTGGACTTGAGCCTGCCTCTTCCCACTGACCCTGACAGAATGCTTTCGTTCAGCACAGAGCAAATCCTCCATAGGAAGCTTTCTGACCTCAGGGCCTACCCTCCCTTGTCCCTAATCTCCCAGGTGGAAAGACTAGATGGTCTGAGACTATATTGAAAGCTGGCCAAACGCATCACCTGCTAACCTTTGCCTCTTATCTTCCAGTTTATTCTTACAGGATACCTCATAGAAATCCATAATAAATCAAAACAAATCCTGGTAAGTCACTGTTGGAACATCTCTGTAATTTGAAATCTTCTATTTTATTTATGTCTTTGTATTTATAAAGCCTCTCTCAGGAAAATATCAATACATCAAATTGGCAATTCTGATCATTCCTATTTGTCAGTGCCACCTTTAGCCCTCCCTTATACTGGTCCCCATTTTCCTGGTTAAGTTAACTGAAAGTTGCTTATTAGACACCATTCCATATCCCTCTAACTCAAGGGTCCTTAAATGAGGGTAATTCTCTGATTCCTCCCACCTCAGGAGTGTTTGACAACATCTGAAGACATTTTAGGCTATCAAAACTAGGTGTAGGAAACCACTGGCATCTGGTGAGTAGAAGCCAAGGATTGTAAGCACCCTACAATGCACAGAGCAGTCTCACAGCAACAGCCACCAAAATTATCTCCCCCCCACCCAAACATGTATAGGCTGAGAAACCCTGCTCTAACCAAAACCAATTCTAGAATCCCAGGAATCCTCTCCCACAAACCAAATTATATCTCCATTACCACCTCAGGCTATTCCTTGGAGCCTACCTGAGGTTTAGGAGAAAGAGTCTTTGGTCACTGATGCTAGATTATTTTAGGATTAAATCAAGGCTACCCCTGACTGCTTTGTCAACCCAAAGGGAAAAGTACCTACTTGTAGGGTAACCTTGAGGATTTACTAAGATATAAAAGGCATGATGATACTGGAATTTTGATATTCCTTTCTAACTGCTCTCAGCTAGTGTAAGGTTCAGCACATGTGGCTTTCTCTCAGTCATTTTAACTGTGTTCCTACAGTCCTCTGTCAGTCTCCTCCAGGGATAGTTACAAGCCATAGAGAATTTGGGGAAGGAATGTTTCCGTGTCTACCTGTGAAAATAAATGCAGACAATGCAGAGAAAACCCCAAATGATGTTCTTCATGTATTGACTTCCATCCAGAGCTGAGAACTATCGTAAGGTTAAAGCAAACCTACCCCTGATGTTCTAAAAGAGCCTTGCAGACAGAGGTAGGTAGGAAGGCATGGGGGCAGGAGCTGAATCAGGCTGACTTTCCATCACAGCTCTGCCACCAACTGCAGAATTGACCACAGCCACTTAATTCCTTAGTCCCATTCATCTGTAAAAAGGGTATGACAAGTGTCCTGCCCATATCACAAAACTATAATGAGGATCCAATGAGACTAGACTGGGCATATTCTTTGTAAAGCACAATACACATGAGGGGCTACTTGTCTAGAGACATTAGTCTATGAAATGTCCTATGAGAGCCACAGAAGAGCCTTGAGAAAACAAAAGGCTGAAGACTGAGAGAGATGATACATCTGAATATCCTTTTGCATCTTCTGCCAAAATTCCTGTTTGCAATAAAGACCTGGGTTTAGGGGAAACATTAAGTCATAAGTGTGCCTCCAAGGCCTGCCATGCTAAGCCATTAACTGCTCCAGGAAGCATCAGCTGGGTAAATATGCATTTACCATCCCAACAGATACAACAGTCAATAGTTATAGTAATACCTGCAGAATTGAGATGGGAGGCTTTCTTTGTTTTTCCTTTTAAAAATCAATATCAGTGGTAGGGATGGATAAGAAGAAACAGATGCTTCCATTCCTTTGAAAGAACTCAGACATATGAGAGATGTCCAGAATGTATCCAGCCTTGTGCCATGAAAAATATTATTAAGAATATCTGGATAATTTCCTGACTGCCCTCATACATCAACACTTTTCTCTCCAAAAAAATAATATGAATGAATAAAGGGAATTGGGTGAGATGATCTGAATTTTGTATGCCTTCCATTTTGGAACACTGAGATCAAGAACAGACACCTTTAAACTAAAGACCAAATTTGTTTTCATGTTTTTTAAATTTCAGATTAATATGAAGATACAAACTATTAGGCTAAATTTGTTATCATCTTTGAATGTGTTAATGATTTTCTTGGTTATTGTTTGAATTATCCCAAAGAATGAATATAAACCAGGATCTGGTACAGTGTCTAACACATATTTGGTGCTGAAATCACTCATTTTGTAAACGTATAAATGGATACTACCCTAAAGTTAAGTGAGGTGATTCACATTTTTAAAGGTAGAAACTGAGATTCTAAGTCTGAGGTAATAGTGAAACTATGACTCAAAATTAGATCTAATTTTCTAAGCCAGTAAGTTGCTAACACATGCTACTGCTGCTAGATTATAAAATATGGTACTTTGGGATAAACTAAACACTTTCTTTAGCATTAACCACAGACTGTCCTTCGTCCATTCTAACATTTGGTTTCTGACTGTAATGAATGAGGATTTAACTTAACGAGACTTCCAACCCTATCGATCTGATGCAGTAATCCCCTGAGAGAAATCTGGTAGGATAAAAGTACTATGAATTTCTTACAATATATTTTTGCTTTGGTTTGGATTTTATTTTATTATATTTAAAACTATTTTTCAGGAACAATGTATCATGGCCATGAATATTATCAGTTCACTTGTTGCGATAGCTGGGATCACTCTCACCTTTATTAGCTACAGACATCAATATAAGTACTGCCAAATCCCTTCCCTGGAAGACATATGTGGTCTTGGGAGAACGTTTTTCATTGTAAGTGGTCTTGTTTTGTACAATGAATCTATAAAATTGAATCTGAACTATGTCCTGACATAATGATTCATTCATGTTTATTCCAATAACTGAAGCTGTGTCAGCATTTGAACTGACAGTTGACAAGTATGTTGTGGCATGATGGTTAAGCTGCAAAAGGAGCTGTGCTGTATGGATTTAATCTTGATTTTGTCACAAATAAGCATGTAATGTTGATCTAACTTCACATCCTCTCTGAGCCTTATTTTTCCTCATGTGGAAAATAAAGATAATAAGAATACCCACTTTTTGGAATCATTTAATGTATCCAGTGCCCACCATCTAGGGACACAGGGCCAGCTTCTTCCTGCTTTGAATGGTCCCTAAACCAGTGTTCACCCTTCTCTACCTATGCAGTTAACTCATCCTTATACTTAAATCTCAACTCAAACATCACTTCTTTAGGAATTTCTTCCAGATCACCCCTCTACTATCAGATGTGATCAGATTGCTTATTATAATAGCATGTGGCCCCAGTTCTTCTTCATAGCATTTATCACAGCTTTAGTTAAATAAACAATTATCTAATTGTTACTGTCTGGCTCCCTTACTAGGACGTAAGTTTTTCAAAAACCAAGACCACCTCCACTTTGTTCAATGGCTGCAGCCAGGAAATGGCACACAGTAAACTGCAATGTCTTCATACATTTCAGTTTTACCAACAAATGGTGAATATCTAAGATTTTTGGATGTATTGAAGGGAAACTAAGATTCAGAGAGAGAGTCACTTGTCCAAGGTTAAGTGTGACCTTGAGCCCAGGTGGACCCAGTTCGATCTCCAGATTTTAAGCTTGTTGGACATTATGCTGCTATACCATGCTATTTCTCTATCCCAATATTACCTTAAAGCAGAGTGTAAAAAATGGCCATCTGTGGGCTATTTCCAGCCTGCAGACATGTTCTGTTTGGCTCACACAAGGGAATAAATAACTGAAAATTTTCACTTCAAATATAGGTATAACCAGCTTCCTAAGGAAAACAAAGCAAAGCAAAATAGGCACCATGGTCCCATATTCCCACAATGCAACAATTAGCTGGAATTGAGTAACAGACAACTCCTATGAACTCTCTACTGTCTACCCTCCTGTTTCACTCAGGATGGTTGACTGACTCCCACAGACATCGGAGATTGTTATCCGCTCCTTATCAAGACACAAAATGAAAACTATGCAGCTTTTATCTTTAAAACAAAGTTTTCATTCCACTTATTTCTCCTCATTCTTTTCAGGGTATTTTGTCAATCTTACTGATCCTCAGTATAGCAGAACTCAGCATCTCTGTGACTATTGCATCCTTTAGAAGCAAGTGCTGGACGCATACAGATGAGGTACATTCAATGTTGTTATAAGAGTGGGTTCCTGCTGGGACACTCCAGGGTGACTTCTGGTCTATTATTAGGCAGAGCAGTATGCTCAGATGCTGAACTGAAACTACCATATTTACGAAGGTTAGTCATCATTCGAAATGGTTCCACTCTTTGAGATAAGAAGGCTTTTCTTGCTTTCCCCATCATCCTCAGTCATCCCAGGTCAGAAATAAATATATTTGTTTATTTCACATCAATATAAGAGTACAAATGATTAGGTTATATTCTTTGTTTGTTAGGTAAAGTCCAAGTAGTAGTTGAGCCTTTCACCTACAAGGTGTGCCATATACTCCTTCATTGTGCCTGTTAGGGGAACACTTACCAATCCTTCTTGTCCTCCCCTTTGTCTCCTCCTTCCTTCCCCCCATCCCATTTAAATATAGTTGTGTTTTTCTCCATGTGGGCATGTAGTTGTTCATCTACTGGTTTCATTTTGGTATTGAGTACATTGGATACTTGCTTTCCATTCTTGTGATACTTAGGAGGATCTCCAAATGCATCCAGGTAAATGCAAAAGATGTAAAGTCTCATCTTTTTATGACTGAATAGTATTCCATGGTATATATATACCATAATTAATTTATCCATCCATGAGTTGATAGGCACTTGGGTTGGTTCCACGTCTTGGTGATTGTGAATTGAACTGTGATAAATGTTCTAGTGCAAATGTCCTTAGATCTTTTTTTTTTTTTTTTTTTTTTGA